CGATGAGTCGGCTATGAAGTTTTTTCCTACTCTTTTCTCTTTTCTCTTTTCTCTCTCATTTATTTGGTTTCTGCATTAAATCATCTAAAATAACAATGTGGCTAGTCATTTTATTTTAAATCAAATTTTATTCTTATTATTATTATTATTATTTATTTATTTGTTTTGGGTCCTTTTCTAGTTTATTTATTTTTTCAATTTCATCATTTAATATTTTGTTAGTTAGGAATTGAGCTTTGTGATTTTTTTGACTTGTATTCTAAAGGGTAATCTTAGTCTCATTACTTGAATCATGAGTTTGGAAGATTGACCCGAGTTGACTTCAACTTTTTTTATCCTTTTTCTACATTGATTTTTTATTTCAACCTTTTATATTGGGCTAGTTGGGAATTGAACTTTATATTTATTTTATTTTCTTTCTATAAGATTATTACAATCTTATAACATGAATCATAGGTTTGCTAGGTTGACTTAAGTTATCTTGAGTCTTTTCCTCTTTCTTTCTTTTTAATTTTTTTTTTTGATTTTGTCATTCAACATAGAATTAGTTTGAGAATTTGACTTTGTAATCTTTTTTAGTCTATTTACTATCAATTTATTTCATTCTTAGGACTTGAATCACAAGGTTTTGTTGACGTTGCCTAGGTTTACTTAGGTTGTTTTTCTTTTTTGTCTTTTTTTGTTAATTGCCTCTTTTCCTATATCATTCTTCTACTTTAGGTCTGGTTAAGAATTGAAATTTATAATGTTTTTTAATTTTTTTCTATTGTGTTATCCCAAACTCATAACCACGGACTTGAGTTTGGTAAGCTAGGTCTAGTTAACTCAGATTGTTATTTTTATCTTTTTTTTTTTAAATTAATTTTTTAAAATTTTATCTTTTGATATTGGTTTGACTTAAAATTGGAATTCATGATTTTTTTTATTTAATTTCTATGAAATTATCTTGTTCTCATGACCCATATCACGAGTATAACAGATTAACCCGAGTTGACATGTGTCTTTTTTTATATATATATTTTTAATTAGATACCTTTTTGTTTTAATTCTAGTCATTAAAAATTTTATTGGTTGACATTTTCTTTATTCTTAGATGAACTGAAAATTTTATTTTAGATAGTAGGTTATTCTGAGTTGACTCAAGTTTTTTTCTAGATTTTTTTTAAATGAATTTTTTTTTAAATTCTGATCATTAAACATTTTATTGGTTGAATGCTTTTTTACTTTTAGATGAATTGAAAAATATATTTTAGATATTATTTTATTAAATTCTATTTAGTACTTACATTGTTAAAAAGTTAGATTGTGGAAAACTTTAATAAATGGATGCCATTATAATACATTATTTATTTATTTTTATTATATTTAATTTAAATATTATGCCCCCATCATTACAAATAATTTTTATACACATGCCAAATATTTCATAAATCTTTGTTAGATAACAAAAACTATTTACTGATCAAATAATTTAAACTAAGTAGTAAAACAACAAAAATAATTTGACCATGAAAAAAAGAAAAACCAAGGGAACCACGATAAAATTAGATACAATAGAAAGATAGAAAGAAGCCGAACCTTTAAAATTAGAAGTGCAACATCTAAACTGGAAGTTAAATGGATAGAACATGATCACAGGATTATGATATTTCATCAAGAACAACAACTAGAGCAACTTTAATAGTTTTAATCTTACTTCATATAGGAAAAATACATTAGATGAATAAAAAAGAAGTCTTGATCTTGGATTTTTCATTTAGTGCAAAAAGCTAAACAATATATACTCCCTAAAATGAAAGATCACACCCTAACAATTATAAATAATTTCTATTATGATCCTTTATCAAGAAGGGATATATAATCCCCCCCATCGATTTAAGTTGTTCATAATCCTCTAAACATTTATTACAATTTTAGAATACCCATCAGATTGTGGCATATTTATCTTAAAGCTTGGAAAGAGAACATGAATTCAAATCCTTTATTTGGAAAGTCAACTTAAAAAAGCTAAAATGTAAGAGTATGCTAGAGTTGTTCTTTAACTTTCAATAACTACTAATTATTAATATTAAATCTTAGTTGTTACTAGTTTCATTGTCTATGCAGGTATGAATTTGAGGTGTAAAAACAAACTTGTGAGCATTAGTTTTTAAAACAAATAATGTAAAGATATAACATATAAGGTTAAATACCAGTATATTAAAAAAACCATTAGTTGATGATGGTTAAACTCCATTTATTATAAAAAATATAATTTAAAAATGAGCAAGCCATGAAGAACTCATTGATAATGTCAGTAAACCTAGGTCAACAAACTAACCTTGAAAACTCTCAACTCAATTGTTTGCATAGATTGAGATTCAGATTAAATATTTAGGAGTTGCTATTATATAAGGCAATTGATTTGGCAGGTCCACAACCAACTCAGACAATTAGGAAAAATACGAGCCGTTCTAAAAAAGATGATATTTTCATATTGCTTTAATACTAAAACGATGACATATTAAAATCACATATAGTCAATCGAGGGAAACGTTAAATGTGCAACTCGGATCATAGAGATGACCATAATACATTAACTTGGTTAGGTAACCATATCTTTCCTTTCTATTTCCCTATTCTATCAATGATTGGGCCTTATTTGAGCTTGGATAAAATGAAAATCGGTTTTGCATTGAAGATTTGATAGAGAATAAGGGGCCAAATTAAAAGAATAGAGCTTGACTTAGTTGGGATGAAATTCAAGGCCTAATTGAAGAGTTATTAGTGAAATATGGATTAAATTGAATGGGTTAAATGAGATGTAGTGCTTAATTGAAGAACTATTATAAAATTAAGAACCAAAGTGAATAATAAAAAAGGTTGAAGTATTTGAATTAGTGTCGTTGGCTTCAAGCGACACATGTAGTTTATTTTCGTCTCCAAATTGAGTCTTCTTTGATGTCCCTAAAATCATCTTGGCATCCTCGTTATTCCTAGGTGGCACGTATAGGGTGTTTCTTCATAGTATGACATTGACAACCTTTTTCTTTCATTGTTTCTCTCTCCTCTCTTAGATTTTGAAATTTGATTGTTTGTTCTTATTTTATAGCCTTTTGTTTTTTTATTTTTATCGATTTTATTCCCTCTAGTTTAAATTTCTTTGAAAACAAAAAACCTAATCATTATTTTTGCATGATTGAATGCAAAACCAATAATGATATCTTTTCTTATTATGAGAGAAGGTCATAGCAAGACAATGGAATTGAAATACCAAGGCCAATCACGAAACAAATCAATTGACAAGGATCAAATTGAAAGAAAAAAAAGTAACCTGAAATAAAAAAAAAATTTACACTATATAAATCCAGATCAATTGAGTGTATAGCTATACTAATTGCAATATTGGATTGCCTAGGCCAATTAGTTTTTATTAATGTACCTATAGGTTATATCTATTAGGGGTATTCATGGATATATTTGAGTCAGATTTAGTATATAATTGTATTTAATTCAACTTTTGATATTTTACAAATTACAAATCCGATTTATTTTAATTTTTTAGACCCGAGCGAGGATATATCATATTGGACTAAAGTTTTTCTGAATATTATAAATATCCACAATTTGAACTTATATTGCTACTTTTCATGGGTCTACATTTAGAGGTGGACCTACATAAAAAATTGCGTATGTTATGACACTCCAAATGTTAGGTATAATTTTCATTTATTAAACCACCATTAAGTTTTAGTTATCTTCAGCAAAAATACAAGATTTTTTTTGTTACATTAATGAAATTTAATTAGAAGCCCACTAACAAGAATTTCAAAGCCAAAACATTTTTAAATAAAATAAAAATAAATATTCAATTCATAAACCATCAAATATAAAGATAAAAGGAATACTAAGCATACAAGTTGAGTCAAATTGACCGGGTTTTATAAATCTTGACATATCACTTAATCCGTGATATTCATTTCTTGAGTTTTTGATCCATTATTATTTGTAATACCCACATTATCAAACTTGATGGATTAGATTGGATTAAATAATGAAAATATTATAAGTTTTTTTTTTCAATGCCTTTAGTCTCTATAATAAATGATAACACCATCACCGTCAATAACTAAGTACATTATAATTTAATTATTTTAATTTGCTAAATGAATTAAATAGCTTCTCTGGTTTTAAAAACTAATTAATTAGTCATATCCATTCATTTCATATTCTTTTTCAAATTTATGTTTTTTAATAAATAGAGAAAAGGAAAAATAAATAAATACTATTAAATGATTGAAGAAAAAAAAAGACATTATTTAAAACTGAAATTAATTATAATTAACACTAGGCAAAAGACTAATTAATTAGTTTCTAAAATTAGATCAAATTGGTTTTTCAAACTAGAAGTATTAAATCATAATGTATTCCCAAATGCATGCGCTCAGTTCAAGTATCAATCTCTCTCTCCCTCTCTCTATTGCAAAAGATTTGAGACCGAACACCAAGCAGCTTATAGCTCAGTGGCGTAAGGCGCTGCTCGTCTTCTTTCGAACCTCGGTTCGAGTCCCAGTGGGAGTGGGGCTGGCGAGTGGTGTCCTTCCTGGTTCTGCTAGCTCCTTGCTGTGTGGTACGCCTGTCGCCCCCGCGGTGCCTAACCTGTTCACTGAGGCTTGCAGGATGTCCAGTGGACCGTGGGATTAGTCGTGGTGCGCGTAAGCTGGCCCGGACACCCACGTTAATCAAAAAAAAAAAAAAGATCTGAGACCGAACTTCTTTATAACTATAAAAGCAAGAAAAAGAATAATCATCTTTGGCTCTTCACTCCCTAGTCCCACCGCAAACCATACAATTCCTCCTAGCCCTCCAAAAGAAAAATCCAAGCAATAACATAATATTCAACCGGTTATTTCATGTCCGGTTCAACCCTTTTTTAAGCTTCAACAGCGACGAAACCAATGCCATTGGTTAAAGACACGGGAGACAAACCCCTCACATATTTGGGGGAAACTCGAGAACAGTAGGGCAAAAATGGCGTTTTTCACCACCTCCATTTTGATTGCCAAAATCCTTAGGCATATTAAAATCGACAGTAACTATCTTTTCTATGCTTTCAACACTTTTGTTTTTTGTTTTTTTGTTCCCTTGTCCAAATATATCCAACACTTTGAATGAAATTCTAACTGCAGTCATATAACACTGTTTGCTACATCAACAAAACTACGTTTCACTGACATTGTTGGGGGGTATATTCAGAGATAATTCTTCAGCCACTGGCATGCTTCTAACTTCAGCAAGGAGCCCCGTAATTTCTCTTTGAACATGATTAAAACGTTCCTTTGATATCAAGGACTCTGTCAATAGAGCTTCAGCAAGAGCATGGAACTCTTGAGCACACTCATCGTTGTTGCTTTGAGCATTTTGATCATCCATAGGAACCGGTGATTGATCCCGTCGCCAGCGAAGGGGAAAATATCTTTCTGGGAGCTGAAAGTAGTTTTTCACCTCAAGTAGTCTAAGAGAGTGCCTACATAATATTCCCGAATGTTCAAATTCCTTGCAAGAACAGTGAATTTGCTCATCTTCTGGCATCCAAATTACAAAACATTCGCCATCCATTTTCTTGAAGTGTTGGACAAGATATGATCCATCTGCCATTTCTTGTATAGCATATTGCAACGACAATACAATTTCATGCTGCAACACATTAAAGGCATAAGGTGTAAGCACACTGCGTGCATGTTCTTCAATTGGCAAGCATGTCTTGATATGCATATACCGCGCCCCATCTCTGTTTTGATTTCCAACGGTTGCAGCAAGACCAATCTGCAAGACCCACAAACAGAATCCAAAATGCAGTCTATCAAATAACAGAAACTTGATAAGAAAATCTTTGAGACAACTGACCCGTATACCTGCTCAAAAAATGCTTGCAGACATGTTTGTCCATCCAAGATTCTTTTCAGGAATGTGTGCAGAGACTGTGAAAACTCAGGAGCCATTGTGCGAGCCAGAAATGAACCTCTGATGTAGGAAAGTGACCAAAATCCTCGATATGAAAAGAGTAGAGCCATATGCTTATCTGTAACAAGTTCAAATCTGGCAACCAAAAGATTCCACTGATGTTCGAAGTCTTCTACATTTTCCACATGACACAAGAGGTCAAACTCAGCTTTAAAATCTTCATACCGCGATCCAAGGGGAAAAGATAACCAGCTGGATAACTTAGATAGAATGTGCCATATACATACAACATGTTTTGTATTTGGCAACTCCCTTGCTATGGCATCCCTAAGGGCCAACTCCATATCTGTTACAATTGTCTGTGGATGTCTTCCTCTTATAAGGCGGACAAAAGTCTGTTCAAAAGAAGAAAATCATAAAAAGGACATGAAGATGAGACAGAATGATTACAGAAATTCTTTTCCACAAACCTGTAAAGCCCATGTGAAAGAATTAGAACTTTCATCTTGCAGCAAAACACATCCATACAAAATTGCTTTTCCATGGTTATCCATGCCAAACCAGACTCCTAGGAGCAAGCCGTAGGTAATAGAACGATATGTGGTGTCGAAAGTTACTACATCGCCATACAATGTATATGCACGAACAGGATCCCCATACAACCATGCGATATTTTCAACCTTTTGATTTTCATCTGTGGTATAATCATAAGCAAAATCTGGATCCCTTTCAGCCACAGACTTGCAGGCCTCAAGGAGTTCCAATGTATCATTCTCTCTCTTCTCAGTGAGCAAAGCATCATTTTCTTGAACAGTCTTTTTACAAGTCCGAACAAAGTTCCTAACATCCTTCTCTATAAAGGGAAAATGTCCAGGTTGAACTCCTTTTTCCAACTCCAACACCTTCACTATCCTATTAATAGGAAACCCTGCTTTGGATAGCAAAAGAATCCTCTCTTGATCAGCCTCCTGTATTTTACGATATGCAGGTAGCAAACGCACTTGGTCATCTTCCAGCAGTTCATGATTATGAACATTGCTAAACTGTGAGACATACCATTGGGCAAGACCATCAACAATTTCCTTCGTCAAATACAATTTTGCATCACAACCACATCGTATTGATTTCCGATCTCGGGGATGCTCCACATTCGCCTTTTTCCGTGGTTGATTAAATCCTGAACGGTAACAAACAAAATCTCGTCTGTAAATCCCTAAATGTTGACTTTCAGTCGACCGGGCTTTCCTAATTGAAAACCCATTCTTCCGAGCAAAATTGGAGTAGTATTCAAAAGCATCATCATCACTTTTGAAAATTTGACCCACATAAGGAGTGAAGACTAATTCTGTTGATGTTGTCTCACTCTTTCCTAGCTGAGAGCTTGCTGAAGTCTGATCATCTCCCTCATATTTAATATAACACTTCCAATCTCCACATGGGCACTGCTGGCGCCGAATCCATATGTTATTTGATGGCTTCATTCACCAGTGGCCAAAAAATATTTCAACTTTCAGTTCCTAAGCCTTCGGTTGGTTTCTGAATGAATGCAAGAGAAGGAAAAAAAAAAAAAACTGCAATTCAAAATTCTGAAGATTAAAACATAATTCAATTCAAAATTCTGAAGATTAAAACATAAAAAAAGAAAAAAGAAAGTAAATTGCTACATTGTATTTCAGTTCTTAAATCTTTTGTCAATTGAAAGAAACATCTAGAAATAAGATAAACGTATTCTTCCCCTCTCTTTTCATCCAACTTAAGAGCAAGTTTCAAAAATTGAAAGCCGAATCTTAAAACCAAACTACTTAAATGCGTGGTTGAAGAAGAAGTTTATGATTAACTGCAGAAAAATCAATTCAAGCTCGCAGGTTGTGTCAGTGCCTCTTTAAGTAAAACAGTGGAAGGCCAGGACAGTATCAGGATCAGACCGCTCCACCAAGAACACAGAATAAAGCGTCCCCCCCCCCCCCCCCCCCC